CATAATAGAGATAATTGTTTTCCATTTCAGATTTAATCAGTAATCCTATTTTAGCAACTTTCCCCAAACTCATGGAGCAGCCTGACCTTATGGATGCACTTAGGGTATGTAATACATCGTATATTGATATGACACTTCTAGGCTTTTAAGGTATTACACGTGATTTGGTGTGGGCTTTTTTGTTGTCTTGTCTGTAGTAAATGGAAAAAGCAAACGACAGAGAAACTACAAGTTCTTTCAAGCTTGTGCAGATTCGATGAGCCTGCATTCCTCTTGTACTTGATTGCCTTCCTTAATTATGATGTAAATGAGTAAATGTGATAGAAGCAAAGCATAAAGATGTATAAATACTACATTAAATGTCCCCATAGTGTCTGGAGGAAGATTATTTTGGGGGGGGGACAGGGGTGAACTATTTACAAGGAAAGAACTGAACAAATGAATTGAAATAGTAAAATTAAATGTCTGCTTTTAAACTGTACTAACATCTTTTTTTTCCATACTTACTGCTTTTCACAATTTGTTAACTGATTAAATTCAATCAGTATTAAACAAGTGTTCTTCTGTCAGAGAAATGGACAAGCTCACCAATGAAGATTTTTGTGGCCTCAGAAAGTATTTGGCATTCCAATGTTATCTGCAAATGTGGGGTTTCAATAAAAAATATTAAACCTGTGTAGTTGTAAATATAACCTTGCAGATGTAAACCAATGCACTGCTGTCTTCCTGAGTCTGCAGACACACTGTAGTAGTACCTCTGAGATGTGAACTGCCCTGATCATCTCGAAGTGGTATTAAGCAAGTTGACTGCTAATCATCTTAGCAGAAACATTTCCTGTTCAGCCACATAGTTGATGTTCCTCAAAAATAAGGTTGCAAATTAAAAATTTGCAAATAATTGAATTGATTTAAATTGTCACAATTTAAATGTTTTAAATTAAAAAAAAATATTTTTAGTCTTCAGTTTTTCTCCTTGTCTACACTCACCTCAGTCCAAATTAAGGAATCAAAGTTAAATGTTATAACACTGTTTGGACACCCAGTCTGAAGAAGGCCCAAACTGTGTTAGAATTGTTTTCTAAAAAATGATTTACCTTAGATCATTTTTAATGGGGTTCTAAATAGTTAGGGGCAACTTTGGGGGGTTTCTATACAATTTGGTCCAGCAGTCATTCGTTTAACTAATGTTAATACACATTTTGATTCCTTAAACATAAGGAAGGCCAAGTACAGATGTGAAATAAACAAAAAATAAATTCTTATAAAATTCCCCATTGAAACTCCGTAGATTTTGGCAAAAATTCCCCCAGTGAAAGCTCATTGATTTTGGAGATAGACTGAGCTGACTTCATCAAAACTCCCTGCAGATTACCACTGCTCCTGGAAATGACCATAATTATGCACCCTCTTGAGAAAAGGGGCAGGAAAACCATCTTTATTTATTTCTTGAATCTTTTTTATCCTCTTTGGGTTCATGACATTTCCCAGATGGTGAGAAGAATACTAGAGTATTGAGTGGGGAGTCACTCTCTGGTATCCCAGAGGTATTTAAAAGTTCCAGAAAAAACTTTTCTCCTCCCCTGGTCTCTCTCTCTCTACTGTCATTTCCCTCTCATCCTTCCAGTCCAAGTCCTGTCCTGCTAAACATGGTTGTTCTGGAGAATGTATGGCGTTGACTAGAAAGATAGGTGGAGGGACGACAGATCCCAGATTTGTGCCAGAAAGCTCTGTATCCTGCTTTGTGGCCTCATCTGCTCTTTGATGTCTGAGGACAATACTCCAGGTATCACTGGATTGAATCAAGTCAAAGAAATGTCTTTTGCAGCTCAAAAAATGTCCTTATATGCATCTTCACAGCTTTCCCAACTCAGTCTGATGTCAAGTTCTGCGTTTTATTTTAGAGCGCTTGGGCAGAAAAGGAAAGCACATTAAAGCGATCAGAAAAGGTAATAACAGATTTTCTCTGTGAGATATTAAATCTAATCCAAGCCAAAGATATTGCTATCAGTGCTGTAACTCGCTGGAAGCATTTCTGTCATTACAATTTTTATAGTACTTACTTAATTCTTTTCAACCCATTTCTGGTAATGACAGAAATCAGTTTAGAAGTAAGTACTATAAATGCAGTTCTTCCCATCTTTTTTCATCCATACTTGTAGTATAGTATCAAACCAACAAAGAAGGGATATGATGTTAGCTTGTAATTATAGCCAGCTTGCCTCAGTGTTAATATAGGATCATCATGGGTTGCTTTGCAGCACTCATGGTCCATAAATGTAAATACCCCTGGTGGTTTTTGGTCAGTGTAGTATGACGGACTGTTTTATTTTATAAACAAATAACACTGAGCATGCATGTTTTATTGGCTGTAGGCCACATGTTTTTAAAATTGAACTGCTAAGAATAAAAAGGTACCCTTTGTAGTTTTGTTGGGGCCTGAACCAAAAGCCATTGACGTCAATGGGAGATTTGGATCAGGTCCTTGACATACTGTACAAAGATTACATCAGTTTTTCCCATAATAAATAAGCTTCCCTCCAGCAAAACCAGTGAAGACAGGACTGGAAATCCCTGGCATTTCTAATGTAAAAACACAAACAGGAAAAACATTTTTTGGGGGGCGGCGGGGAGAACAGGGGCACTGACTATATGGTAGATCTTAAAGGACACACACAGTTTTTCCCTTTACACTTAACAGTTTCATGTTATTTCTTTTTTTCAGTTAAGCTCCTTTCACAAAGGAGCCCATTTGTATCAAGGCAGTTTTATCAGGAGTGTCATGAAATAGAATTGATACTTGTTGGCACCACTGTATTTTAGTACATTAAAGTATAGTGCAAGAAAAGTTAAGGTTAAACATTTTAAAATACACCAAATTAGGCACACTAAACATCAGTGTACATGATAACAACACTGCTGACATTTACATGAGACAGTACATTTTTGAAGCATCATGGGTTTGTCAACACAGAGTATCTAAAGATGTTCCTGAGAACGGAATAACAGTCAGCAGAATTACTGTATCTTCTCATTTTAGTTTTGTACATATGACTCACTAGAAATACTTTCAAACCTCACAGGCTTGCGCAGGGGCCTTTCTGAACAATTTCATTTTCTTATTTTTAGAGAGACCGAGAATTTCTGAAGTCTGTGTTTTTCCTGGTGTACCATGACTATGTCTTCCCTCTTCTCCAGTCCACTTTCCTCCCGGAGCACAAGTGGGCAGACGAAGAGTCTGAAGCCTCGCGCTGGAAAGTGATTGCTGACTTCCTGAAGCGGAACCAAGAAAAAGACAGTGCACTCTACTCTCTGCTCTCCTCAGAAAGTGTTCACAAAGCTTTCGATATTTCAGAGATCGCATATGACTTCCTAGGACAAGCGAGGAAGAGCAGTGCCTCAGTTTGAGTGGACTTTAAGGCTCTTACACTGTCACGTGTACAAGACTAAATTAAAAACATATCATCTGACCAAAATGAGACAGGATTCTATTACCACGTGGGCTGGGTTTATTGTTTGTCCAAAGGATATTTTGCAAGCAAATTGTATTGTACACCACAATATTTGCACGTCATAAACTTTCTTTTTTACACAGCGTATACTAATGGTTTATAACAAGTATTTTATCTCCTTATCTACATGATTTTACAAAAAAGCTTTGTTTTCATTTTTAAATCAGTACCGTTATCGGTGAAATCCATTGCTCCTCCTGTTTTGTGTAGCTGAGTGTTATGAAGCAAAAGTAACCCATTATCCTCCTTCAAAAACTCTCCTTAAAACTTTCCTTTGCCGTGATGCCTACAAAAACCAGCTAGACTGCTGGTGTGCTGAGACTACAACTTGTCATGCTGAGACCAATATTGCCTCATTGTTTTCTTGTACTCCCGTATGGGTTTGTCTGTATCCGTCTTTTGTCTCTTGACTTATATTTAGATGGTCCCTGCCTCAAAGAGCTGACCATCTTTTTGTTCTATGCCTAGCAACTTGGAGTCTTGGTCTATGACTAGAGCTGCTAGGCATTGCAATAATACAAATAATAAGAATATAATGGCCATACTGGGTTTTACCAAAGGCCCATCTAGCCCAGTGTCCTGTCTTCCGACAGTGGCCAATGCCAGGTGCCCCAGAGGGAATGAACAGAACAGGGAATCATCAAGTGACCCATCCCCTATTGCCCATTCCCAGCTTCTGGCACACAGAGGCTAGGGATACTTCAGAGCATAGTTTTGCATCTCTCCCCATCCTGGCTAATAGCCATGGATGGATCTATCTGCCATGAATTTATCTAGTTCTTTTTTGACCCCTGTTATAGTCTTGGCCTTCACAACGTCCTCTGGCAAAGAGTTCCACAGGTTGACTATGCGTCGTGTGAAGAAATACTTCCTTTTGCTTGTTTTAAACCTGCTGCCTATTAATTTCATTTGGTGACCCCTAGTTCTTGTGTTATGAGGAGGAGTAAACAACACTTCCTTATCTACTTTCTCCACACCAGTCATGAGTCTATAGACCTCTATCATATCCCCCCTTAGTCATCTCTTTTCCAAGCTGAAAAGTCCCAGTCTTATTAATCTCTCCTTATCTGGAAGCTGTTCCATACCCCTAACCATTTTTGTTGCTCTTTTCTGGACCTTTTACAGTTCCAATATATCTTTTTTGAGATGGGGCAACCACATCTGCACGCAGTATCCAAGACGTGGGCGTACCATGGATTTATATAGAGGCAATATGATATTTTCTGTGTTATTATCTACCCCTTTCTTAATGATTCCCAACATTCTGTTTGCATTTTTGACTGCTGCTGCACATTGAGTGGATGTTTTCAGAGAATTATCCACAATGACTCCAAGATCTCTTTCTTGAGTGATCACAGCTAATTTAGACCCATCATTTTATATGTATAGTCGGGATTATGTTTTCCAATGTGCATCACTTTGCATTTATCAACATTCAGTTTCGTCTGCCATTTTGTTGCCCAGTCACTCACTTTTGTAAGATCCCTTTGTAACTCTTCACAGGCAGCTTTGTACTTAACTATCTTGAGTAGTTTTGTATCTGCAAATTTTGCCACCTCACTGTTTACCCCTTTTTCCAGATCATTTATGAATATGTTGAATAGGACTGGGCCCAGTACAGACCCCTGGGGAACACCACTATTTACCTCTCTCCATTCTGAAAACTGGCCATTTATTCCTACCCTTTGTTTCTTATCTTTTAACCAGTTTCTGCTCCATGAGAGGAGCTTCCCTCTTATCCCATAACAAATAATACTAATGAAGCATTGACCGTAAAGTTGAACCACTATTTAGATGTAACAATATTTTCTGTAGTTCATTTAGAATGGCTGTGTTCACGTCTCAGTTTCAGTTTTAATACGGGCCTCTACTTACTGAGAAAAATGCAGGAATCTAGGCACCATGCCCAAGTGGCCAGGTAAATTATACGCAAAGAAAACAGCAAGAAGATATTTATTTTAGGGAACTAGTTTAGCAAGGTCAATCAGGCTGAGAACTAAGTGTTCATCGTGCATTCCCAGGTAATGAGCAGCAGGATACTACTGCACGTTAGAACACTCAGAAAAGCTGTGTTGGTTTTGTTGCTAAGCGGGGGCTCAACAGGAAAATAAACCCTCTGAACTCTTACAACATTAAACAGATACTTGTGTTTTGGGGTTTGGTGTCAAGTTCACACCGACTTACTTCTATTGTAACCACCACCATTAAAAACTTTTAATCTTCTATTAAACTCCTGGAAGAAGGAAAAGCCTAGACTTGCATTAGAAACTTCAAAAGTTGAATAAACTTTTTCTCCTATTTCTTTTCCCTCTAGCTGGATAGAGCCTTTTACTGGAAAAGTTCCTTGCTTGACTGTCTGATCTTTTCCCAACAAATACATTTAACACCATCTAACAGTTATTGGTATTGTCTTGAGTTGTTCTGAGTCTAGTCCTGCATTTGGTCATCAGGGGCCGATGTAGTACGTGGCACCAGGCAGTCTCTCTGCTCTCCCTGCTGGCACAAGGCCTGTCTGGAGTGCCCAGGAAACAGGTGGGGGCAGCCGGCAGGGCAGGGAGCCTGGGGGCAGGGCCTGAATGCAGTTTGGAGGAGATTGGAACGGGGGCACATAATGGGGCAGGCTGCCCCGGAACTCCACAACCTTCCCCCCAACAAAACTATTTTTCAAAATACAGAAACAGGAGCCCTGCCCCATCCATGGCTCCACCCCTGCCCCTCCTCTTCCCCCTGAGGCCCTGCCCTCTGGCCAGGCTGGAAGCCAGAGCCAGGCAGTGATAAGAGCTGCCCAGGGAGCCTGGGCCAGTGTGGGGAGCCCCAGATCCTCCACCTGCCTTAGGCGGCGGGGACATAGGCTGGGGGCTGCTCTTTGGCACCCTGGCCCGCCGCCCCTACAATTCTGCCCACGGCTCAGCAAGACTTTCCCTGCAATTGCATCTCTGAGCTGCTGTGGGCCAGGCTGGTTATCAGAACTGCTTGCAGGGAGCCCCTCTCTCCTGTTCTTAATGCTCCCCCGGCTGGGCCCAGGCAAGGCAGAGCAGGGAAGCTGCCTGTTTAGACTGCAGAGGGGACAAGAGCCAGTCCTGGGAGAGGAGTGGCGGAGTAGATTGGAACAAGGAGATGGGGGTAGGGGGACACTGGGACCGGAGGCTGGCAGGAGAGTAGAAGATGGAAACTAGGGCTGGGATTTGGGTAGGGGGAGACTGGGACTGAGACATTGGGGATGGACTAGGAGCCAGTGGAGGGGAGATTGGGATTGGCTGGGGCTGGGCAAGGAGACTGGGCCTGGGAACTAGTCGAAGAGGAGACAGATCTGATGAGGAGCTGGGCTGTGCAGGGAGAACTGGGGCTGGCTGGGCAAAGAGATTGGGATTGAGCGCCAGTGGGGGATGGGAAACATGGACCAGGGGGTTTGAGTAGAAGCCAAGGGGGGTGGGAGG